CGCTTACCCGAGCACCCCCCTCGAAAAAGAGTGCAAATGACAAATTTGATTCATTAAGTGACAGATTACGTCTTTGAGGGAAATCAAATTACAAAATTAGTTGAGTCGTCATTGATTTTCACAACGAAGAAACAGAAATGATCACAAAAAATATGCACATTTTATTACAATATTAATTAAGTACCACCAGAATTTACGAAATTAAAAACATTTGAGTCTTTTGGAACACAGTCGAAGTCAAAATTATCTCCACTGACGAAGGTGTTGGATCGTACGCAAACTCTCGAACAAAATCACTTTCCGCCATGATGCATTTGCCGAATGTGACCCCAAATATAAAAATTGCGCAAAAGTGGGGGATGGGCGCTTGCCCGGGCATGGGCGCTAACGCGGTCGAGTACGGTAGTACCTATATATTGTGGAATACTTTATTTTCGCTTGGAATTTATTTTACGCTATTTTCGCTGAAGGAATGATTCCGTGAAATCAAAATCCAGCGAATATACTTTTTTTCCTATATTTCACATTAAACTCATCAAAAATCAGTGAAAATAAATTCCATACAAAACGCCCAAAATGCCTTTTCAGCGAAAATTAATTCCAGCGAAAATAAAGTATTCCACAGTATGTAATATCAAAGCAATTGGACTTGCAGTTTTTAACAAGAAGTTGAAAATATCACTTTTTACCAAAAATATTCACCAAAATTAGAAAATTAAAGATATCATCATGAAATCAACAAATTTGAGAGTGGACCACATGTAGTACCTATATATGTAATATCAAAGCAATTGGACTTTTGGTTTTTAACAAGAAGTCGAAAATATCACTTTTTACCAAAAATGACAAAAATATTCACCAAAATTGGAGAATTAAAGATATCATTACAAAATGAACAAATCTGAGAGGTCCACATGTAGTACCTATATATGTAATATCAAAGCAATTGGACTTGCGGTTTTTAACAAGAAGTTGAAAATATCACTTTTTACACAAAATGACAAAAATATTCACCAAAATTAGAGAATTGAAGATATGATCATGAAATGAACAAATCTGAGAGAGGTCTACCCAAGGTACATATACACCAAGTATCAAAGCATTCAGACTTGTAGTTTTCAAGAAGAAGTCGAAAAAGTAAAACATTGACACGGACGACGACGGACAATCACTCATATGATAAGCTCCGCTCGACAAAGTCGACAGCGGAGCTAAAAATTAAAATTTTAACTCTTTGAGTGCAAAATGTTTGTCATGCTCAAAATTGGTGTAAATTTTTTCACATTTTCTGTAATTTTCACTGAATTTAGTTTCAATTTTGGACAAAACAGTCTAAATATGGCATCACTGCTAGTCTTTGATCCAAAAAAACTTTTTATGTTGAAAAGAACAGACTTTAAATAGGGCTATCTTATGGATGGTGACTTAAGTCAACTGGATTATGTTAAACACCAAATCAAGCAAAATTTATGCTCAATTACTACGTTCACGTTACGGGATCTCGGTACGTGTCGAAATTTTTAATCAGTTGTGTTTGCAGAGGGATTACAGCAGTTGTGTTCACGTTATTCAGGACCCACTTAGGACCGACTGGGCTCGTGCCGAAATCACGCTCTCATTCGTCGATCTGTTGGCCCAAACGATACGCATATGATGATAATAATAATTGTTATAGTGAAATTATATCCATTTGTTGCAATGGTGTTTATTACGAGCCATTGTGCACATGAACGGCAAAGAAGATTCGAAACATAATTATTTTTTTCATGTCAATGTAAAATGTGCAAGAAAATAGAGGTTGTAGCAGCACATAAATATGCGTCGCTGATGACGGTTTGCATTCATTACTACAGCATCCGACCATCTACTAGTATATCCGAATTTCCTGTCATCGTAATTTCATGCTAGTATCAATCAACTTATGTTTTTCTTAAATTTACCACCGAGGGCGTGATTTCGACTCGTGCCGAGCGTTCAGGCAGCAAATCTCGGCACGTGCCGAGTTTCGGTCCCAAGCATCCATCGGGACCGAGATCGAGTTCTTTTCGGCACCGGCCGACTCGGTCCCGACCGTTCACACACAATTTTCGGCACGTGCCGACTCGGTCCCGACCGTTCACACACAATTTTCGGCACGTGTCGACTCGGTCCCGAGTCTCAGCACGTGCCGAGATCTCTAACGTGAACACCACTAATATGAATCTCTTATGAAGTTTAAGTCTTATTTGTGATTGATAAAAGAAAAATGCAAATATATGGTACTTACCATTATTTGTGAAGGCATTATAGCATCATATTGAAGTGGTGATTTGACAGATGATAGATCATGGGTTGCTATGGTAGCCACGGTTCTCTTCTGACCTAATGTTTCATGTAATTTAGTCTGGTAAAAAGAAAAAAAAAGTTAGATGAACATGTCTGTATCATACAGGGAAATTCAGCCAGTCATTAAACAGAAGAACATAGCTACTGTAGTCCCTATATTTTTGTGCCAGACAAAAACGCAATAATGTAATTGCACGTGCTGGGTTCTAAGTCTAAACAAAATGCTTTTGAAAAGAATAGCAGACTGTAGCCTGAATGGTTGCGATGCGATGTGAGTATGCTAAACATTGTAACTTCACTCAAGTCACACAGTTTCATAACTCAAATTTTTTATTATATTCAAAATAAACATGCTAGCATAGGCTCATGTTAGTGTTTTTTTTTATATGTATTTTCAGTTGAGTCAAAACATATTTGCAAAGTAGAATATGATGTATTGTAAAAGCCTGTCAACAAATAAGCTGCTCTCTGATTGGTCTGACTATTAGGTGTTGGGGTTGGGTAGCCAATCGGATACAATCTTTATAGCTGTTCTCTGATTGGTCTTACTGTTACGTGTTAGTAATGAATAGCCAATCAGACACAATATTGTAAGTAGCTTACCTGTGCAGAGATGAACTTCTTGAACACATCACCAGATTCCAAATCATAATCTTTCACAATACAACATACAATATGTGGCCGTACATCTCCCACATTGTCCGTCAGGTTAACTTCCACAGCTGTTTCATCTTCTGTAGCATGCAAGACTCGGATAGTCGGACTTCCTGAATCAACCTCCACGTTCTTGCTCTTTTTACCCTTCTTTCCCTTACCCCCCTTACCACCTCCTTTGCCCTTCTGGCTGTGTGTGCGTATGTAGTCCAGTACTGACTTAGTAGCGCACTGCTCGACCATTTTACCTAAGCGACGATCGCTAAAGGAATTTCCTTTAAAGTTGGTATCTTTGAGTTTCATGCAGTCGGATATTTCAGATGGAAGACTTGTGAGTTTGTTGTTAGCCAGATTTAGCACTTTCAGCATGCGCAGTTGAGCAATATTGGGGCTTAATAAAGTGATATTATTGTCATTTGCTAAAATGCTGCTCAGATGTACCATGCCAGGATTGAAGAAATCCGATGGGAATTCTTCCAGTCGATTTTGGGAAACATCAATTATGGACAAACTTTCCATTTCTCCAATCTTTTCTGGTAGTTCGTTCAAAATATTGTTATTGACATTGAGTGTGTGCAAGCCAACTAATTCTGTCAGTTCACCCGGCAGCATATCGAGCTCATTTCTTGAGAGATCCAGGGTCTTCAGGTTTTTCAGTTTCCCGATAGAAGCAGGCACTTCTTCGAGTCGATTACCTCTCAAAATTAAACTCGTTAAGTTGGATAGGTCGCCGATGCCTTCTGATAAAGTTTCCAGACGAGCGTCAGAAATTTCTAAAAAGTTTAGTAATTTTAGAGAGTAAATCTTTTCGTCTAAGCCATTTTCTTCTATTCTCTTTGCAACATCACTACCAGAAAGAACTAATTCTCTTCTGTTTTCCGCCCCGGCGACTTGGACCTCTTGCCACGCTGTCGCCATATTGAGAAATTGACTGTAATTATACTGCTTTGCGGCAAGCGCGACGTTAAGACAAGTATTTGAGTTAGTAATATAAATAGTTTATTTAAAAAAAGTTGAACATGTATTTTTTTCAATATTATATTATATTAGATATAATGCTATTTAGGTAGATATCAAAAATTAAAATTAGATCATAACCACGGCCAATAACTTTTCACGACATTTAAATTATACCCACTTGCGACAACACATGGTTGTAGCACTACTGACCTAATTTGTTTACAGCGTCTGTTCATTTCATTTTTGTGGAACAATCACTATGGGGAGAGTGAAAAACCTTATCGAATTGAGGACTAGAAGGGGACCAGGCAAAAAATCTAGGAAACAAGCACCTCCTGAGGTACCAAAATCAGTGGAAGGTGAGATTGTTGGCTCGTTGTCTTGTCATGCCTCCGTGTTTACGCCACAACGTGTGTTTTTTAAATGCAGCATGTCATTAGAAATTTAAGTCGAATATCTAAGTGTGTACTCAATGGACTCACTGCCCTCTCTATTTCAGTTTGAACGATCTCATTATTGGACTAATTGTTGTTGTATGTGTTGGTGGAGAGGAGGGTGTATGTGGCACCACAGTCAATTGTTGAGGGTAATACATGTACATATACATGTATGAAACAATCCTTTATTGCTACAACTGAAGGGTAAATCATGGAAGGTAAATGTATATGAAAAAATGTCTGCCACTGTGACAATTATATACAGAAGCAAGCCGAGGGGAATAATTGTCACATCATAGAGACAATCTTAATATATCTCAAAGCTTACAGTTAATAATTTGTCATAACTGTGTGGTGATTTGAATGTCCTCGCTCTCTTGGACATCAATACTGTACAAGGAGATATTTATCCTATTTTTATTGAAAATAATAGTTGGGGTGGCATGTATAGTCATCTGACAGCTCCACTGCTGTGGAGTTGTGCGTTTCTTCATGTATTGAAATTCATTTGTGTTGTGTTGTTGTTCCGATTTTTAGCCAGCCACCAGTCCACCCAACAAATGGACTGGCAACTTTGATTTGGGACTGGCAATTTTTTCCTATTTTTCTGTTTTTTCCTATTGTTCTTTGATAATTTTACCTAAATATATCCAAAACCATCTACATTTTCATGAACTTGAAAGTTGAATTGTTTTGGAGTGGCAGTGGCTAATAGCCTGGTTGTGTTGTTATGGACTTACATACCCCAAACACTACATGTGCCTTAGCACCTCAAAGCAGATATTCAAACACTCATGAGTGAGAGTGATTATGGTAACAACACTAACAGAGGGTTACCACATTTATTCGACATATTTAAAATGTAATGCAACTCTCTTAGATTTAATGGCAGTAGTACACTGTCAGTTTTGTGATGAGTAACAAGGTAGTTTTATCATTTTAAGTATAATATGGGTAGATTGAAAATCTCATCAGTGTAAAAGTGGTTACCCTGCACATGTTGTTGTACATGTAGTCACTTCATGACAGCGAGGTGAATACGGCACCCCTGTCATTGTGCAAGCAAGTCAATGCAACCATCAGTATCCATGGCGACACTTGATTAAGTGTAATGTATGCACTTTTCTTACAAAATGTGAATTACAGCCTCATTTGTATTTGGATCTCCATTATTAAATATTTATAACAAAAATAATGTGAACTATCGGTACATCCATGGATAGTCTGTAACTGTACATGTATATATTAATATTTTCCGAGAACACTAGGACTACTAGTAGGTAATCACTGAATTACATACTGTATATCTGCAAATTTCTGTCACCGAATTTCAATACATCATGTGTGTACTACCGGTATATATTCTAAACTTATTTCTTTATTATCACCAGAACCTGAAGAAGCAAAAAAGTTCAGTAGAAGACAGAAACAAAGGTAAGATCAAAGAAAATAAACAGGGCATTTCTTGTAAATTAAAAAATAACTTATTTTTATTTGGTTTGTTTTTTTGTGAAATAAAAATCGTGAAATTTCAGGGGATTAATCTGAACATATTGTGTACCTGCATCTACCGTTGGTCCGTACAGAGGCATTTTTTCAAAGAAATTTTCCCAATACACAATGATATACATGTATTGGTTACTATTTTTGATTTAAGATTTTGCAAAATAAAGACAACGTTGGGTTACCAGAAAGACACTAATGACACAATGTACATCTCCATAAAAATATTAAAGGATATTTTGTACTTTATATTAGAATTTGTAAGCTCATTGGTTACCCTTTCACTTCGTTACACAAACTTCGAGTCTTTGTAATCTTTGTTTCCATAAACTGCTTACTTTATGCTGAAAGTGTTGTTAATAATTTTTTTTTTATTTGCTTAGGTTAATAAAAAGAAAATTACGTAAAGACATCGCTTCTCAGTCGCAGATTCCTAAAAAAGTTAAAAAGATCACAAGAAAGGATGAAGATGATGATGAGTTATCGCTAGGCAGCGATGGAGAAGGTAGGAGTACATCGAATGATGTCACAAATTATTAATTATTCATGACATCTACATTATTCATAAATAATTAGTAATTACAAGCTGGCAGAAATGTATAATATAGTCAGTCAAGTCTGTGTAAAGTAAACATGCAAGAGATGGTTTTTATAGACAGGTTTTTTTTTTTTTTTTTTTTTTTTTTTTTTTTTTTTTTTTTTTTTTGATGAATTGCCAACATTTTATATAAATTTGTTCAGAAAATAATGAAATAGTTCTGTTTTGACAAAGTTGGAAATTAGCAATTGTTTTATAAACAAAATGCTAATTATGAATTTTGTCTCTAAACAAAGATAAATTTGCGAAAAATATTACTGAAAGAATGATCACACAAGTTAGATGGTCTTTATTCACATGTTGCTTATATATGTTATGCCTTGGGACTGCCTAAAAGTGGTCACAATCACAGGTTTGAATGTAATATGGTTATTATAATTTGACTGGATAGTTTATATTTATGTTCAAGTTCTCTACCGTGTTGTGTTGGTTGATATAATCATCATGTACCTTTGTGATAATCTTATATTATTATTGAATCAATCTAATCATATAGCACTACTGTACTCGACCACGTTAGCACCCAGGGTGCTCAACTCAGAAAATCATGGGGGGTGGGCGCTTACCCGAGCAACCCCCTTGGAAAAGAGTGAATATGACGATTTTAATTCATCATGTGACACATTGAGATGAATATTATATCTTTGAGGGGAAATAAAATTACAAAATTAGTTGCCTTGTCATTGACTTTTACAAGGATGAAACAGAATATGGCATGTAATTTTCACCACATTTTACTTTTTTTAACAGGTCAATGTTGAAGTGTAGTTTATGCACGATTATCGTGTCTACGTACTTACAACATATTCTCGGCAGTTGATATCCACGCTGTATCATAAAAATGATTACCAGTATTCGTTGAGCAATGATCAAAGATCAAGTGGCATTTCAAAGGGGTGGGCGCTTTGCCAAATGTGACACCGAATATAAAAAATGTGCAAAAGTGGGGGGTGGGCGCTAACGCAGTCCAGTACGGTATATTTAACACTAAACACCAGTCTGAAATCATTCAGCCAGCCAGCGGTCCTTCATGTATTGTCATTGCCGCAAAAATGTTAAATTCCAATTGTTATTTTTCCATACACGTAACTGTGTATTCACTGTTGTACATTTTCATATTAGCGACAAGTGCAATATTGAAGTTCAGAAAATAATATACGCTAAACCTCCCCCTCTCCCAAAAATTAAATTTTCTTAGCTTCTGTAACAAAACAAGACCATTTCTTATTACTACGCTGAATGGATACAATTGTTTCCAGAACAGAGCAGGATCGATATAGAAAATGATTGCATTGTATTTGAATTGCATATGTAGTACCAGGTATATAATAATTATATAACGTATGTGATCTGACGATACAGTAGGTTCTGTTTGTTTGTCTACTCCTGTGGTATTTGCACATTAACCTGTGGGTTGTCAATACATTTTGTTTTTATCAGGAAAAGAAATGGACAGTTCTGGGTACGACGAAGAATCTGCATCTCCGAAGAAAAAGAATTTGAAGCAAGTTGTAGATTCAGATTCCGTTGACAGCGCCGCTGAAGAACAGAGTGATGAAGATAGTGAAGAAGAAGCAGACAATAGCGAAGAAGAGGATGATAGTGATGAGGAGGATGATAGCGAAGAGCAGGATGATAGTGAAGGGGAAGATGATAATGATGAGGAAGATGATAATGATGAGGAGGATAATGATGATGATGAAAGTGGGAGTGATGATGCAGATGAAATAAAAGGTTTTACTGATGAAAACAAGGCATGGTTAACGCTGAAGTCAGAAAAGAAGAAGTTAGAAGAAAGTGATGATGATGTTTTAGTAAGTAAATTCTGACATAGAAAATAAGTGTGTCTATTCACTTCACGCTGCTTATAAACCTATTCATATTTTAACAATTATTTGTAGCTTGAATATGAATGTGTTTGTAGGGGTGGAAATTAAAACCTCTACACCACTTAGGACAAGTACTTTTATTCTCCAACTAGTCCAATAGACAGGTAACTTGAATTTTTACCCCTGGTTTGCTTTGGAACATTTTTACAGTGTACCATTTGTAACATTGAAAAAAAACATCATGCTAACAAAGCAAATATGGTTTCAGTTTCAGTGTTCTCCCCAGGCTCAGAGGCAAGCATGGCGATCTAATTTGCATGCTAATTTGCATACTAATTTGCATATTTTTCAGGATTCACTCTCACAAAAACAAACATACAAGACAGTATTAAAATGTATGAGACTTTATTTAAATTACATAATACTTTACATAATATACCATAATTTGACAAGATCGTCATTTAATGTGAACTGTTCCATAAAACTTAGTCTAAACTAATCCTTCTGACTTTGTTGTGCTCCAAACATTGGCTGCCTTACTGTAGTTAAACTCGATCGTCATAGACTTGCACGGGACTTTGTTCCATAAAGAAGATCCACTCTTTGCAATCATGTTGTGCTTTGAGCATTAACTGCACAACATTCCTAGTGGGAAAAAATGATAAATGTAAACATAACGATTGAATCTATTGTGCCACGGTCGGGAACCCAGTGCCGTATGGATAGCATTTCGTCTGCAAAACATGTTGTTTACATGTTGGTTTTGTCAGGTCAACGACAAGGAGACTCGGGAATTTCGAGGAAAAAAAACATGAGGTCACTATTCAATTAAAATTAAAA